CCCGTTTCCCTTTTTAAAGACCCTGGTTATGACCTTGAGTCCTTTGGATGTTATTGGATAATCTCCCAGTTTAAGGGTCCTAAAGTAATCCCATCTGCAATGTCTGTTTGATCCTCTAAAATGGCAGTCAGGAGTCCCCGGGTCAGGGTGGGTGTTATTCTGTCTCTTCTAGTGAGACAAAGAGAGGAAGGAAAGGGGAGAAGGAGCCCTAGTGTTTGTACATTGTGTAAAACAATGTGTGTGTACACAAAGGCCATTCTAAAAGAGAATGTTGTTGTAGTAGTATTTCATTTGTATTTTAATAAATAAAGCTTGTCTGAAGATCAGAGAGTAAAACGGCCCCACTGGTTAGCCTTATAGATCAGGCAGTGGTGACTCACACCTCTAATCCCAGACACCACACTAGTTGCCATAGAAACTGGACGATGCATGTCTTTAATCCCAGCCCTAGGGAGGACTATAAAATGGGAGGAGACGGGTCTCAGGCTCAGTCTCATTTTGAGATTCCTGGAGGCAGGATCGCCATTTCAGACTGAGGTAGAGATAAGAGCCAGTGACTGGCTGTGTTGTTTTTCTGCCCTTCAGGTTGAACCCCAATTTCTGTCTCTGGGTTTTTATTATTCGTGCTACAGGTTGTTTTTGCTCTTTTGGCTTTTTGGTCTTTTGGGGGCCCACCAACTACCTCTCAAATAAATCACACACGGAGGCTTATTCTTGTAAAAGGAGCAGTGGGCTGCGTTCCCACCAGGGTTCCTTGTTTCCCCTTCTATTTATTTATCCTCTCTGCCTGCTGGCCCCACCTATCCTTGCTCCTGCTTCATTATTGGCTGCTCAGTTTTGTATTAGACCATCAGGTGGTGTTTTAGACAGGCATAGTAACACAGCTTCACAGAGTTAAACAAATGCAGCATAAACAAAAGTCACACACCTTAAAATAATTTCCTCAACAAGAGAAACTTTAAATAAAGTGATAGGAGGCAGAGGAAAAGTGGAAAAGCCAATGTCTGAGGAAGACCGTAAGCTGGCGTATCATCTTGTAACACATGGGAAGTTTTAAGAATGACACATCTTCTTTCGTCTCACACTTGAGGAGAAAGTGTTCTCATGGAGGCCTCTGCTGAGTAGATCCCAGCCTATGAGTGCCATTGTAGGATACCCTATATTGTTCTTTTAAAAAAGAATACGATGATGGGATGATGGGAGCAGCTTCTAGTTCGACAAGGATGGCTGTGGGTCCCTGCAAGATCTCCAGGGTGGCAGCGCCATGCGGCCGGGGGAGTCAGGCGTGCGGTTACGGCGGATAAAAGGCTCACAGGACACACAGTATTATTTAAAAAAGAGGGAGACATTTATTGCTTAAAGAAGAGAAAAACAGAGAGACATAATAAAAACAGAGAAAACAAAGACACACGTACACACAACACGAGACAAACACACAAGAGAGAGAGAGAAGATGGCAGCGAGGGAGGTCCGAAGTGGCTGGAGTGGGCGTGGTTAGTTCTTAAAGTGACCCAAAGGAATAACACCCTAGAGTCACATCCTCCCAGATGCCTCCAGGACGCTCCTCCCACTGCGCCCAGCGCTTCCAGCCATCAACAGTGCTAAAACTCAGTTGTCTTCAGGAAGTTGTCCTGTTGCTTGTTTAGGTTAAGGCTCCAGGTATTTCTAAGAGGTCAGCAATTGTAGGTATGTGTGTGTGTACAGATGTGCAAAGAAGCAAATGCCCAATCCATGTGGGTTCAAAGACTGTAATTGTCAGCCTGGTGGAACCAACAGCTGCCGGAGTTTTTTTCAACCTCTTTCCGTCTAATTCATTCAGCTCATTTTGATGGACTGAGCAAAGGTTTAGGTCAGAATTCCCGGGGAACCTCAGGAACAGCCTGCTCTGTTGAGTGTGTGCAGAATGAAGCAGAGCAGGTGTGGGTTCTCCTGCTGTGAGAAACAGGGCATTCTGCCAGCCCAACTTTCATTCCCTTTGCAAGCACAGAGCAGGAAATAGAACATGGTACAGCCCACATCTCCACCCTTATTCCTAGTGTTGGCCAGTGACACAAGGCAAGCGTCTTCATCCACACCTTGATTTTCTCTTCCTAATTATATATCAAATTTTCTTTATGGTTTGCTGAAAACTGTCTCTTGATTTCCTTATAGTGGCCTTGGAGCTTTGATGAACTCAATGTCTGAATCTCTTCCTAGCTTGTCTCATCCTTCAGAGAGCTGAATAGTCCCTAAGTGTGTGTTCATGCACAAAGAATATAATCCACATCCATAGTCACTCAGTGTGTGCATGCATGAGGAATATAATACACACCCAGAGTTCCTAAGTGTGTGTGCATGCACGAGGAATATGCTACATACCCACAGTCCCTAAGTGTGTGTGCATACACGAGAAATATGCTACACACCCACAGTCCCTAAGTGTGTGTACATGAGAATATACTATACACCCATAGTCCCTATGTGTGTGTGCATGCACAAGGAATATAATACATACCCAGAGTCCCTAAGTGTGTGCATGCGTGAGGAATATAATCCACATCCATGCTTCCTAAGTGTGTGCATGCACAAGGAATATAATCCACACTCACAGTCCCTAAGTGTGTGTGCATGCACAAGGAGTATACTACACACCCATAGTCCCTAAGTGTGTGTGTATGCACGAGGAATATACTACACACCCAGAGTCCCTAAGTGTGTGTGATGCACGAGGAATATACTATACACCCATAGTCCCTAAGCATGTGTGCATGCACAAGGAAGATACTACACACACTTTGGTACTATGAGTACCAGGAATATACTTCACACCCATGGTCCTTAAGTGTGTGTGCATGGAATATGATACACATCCATAATCCCTAAGTGTGTGCATGCATGAAGAATATAATCCACATCCACTTCTCCATTTTTGTTCCACTGCAAATACTTAATAAAAATATCCCCAGCTTTCATGTGATATTTGCTATAAGACTATCACAACACCACAGTAACCCCTGGAGTGATACAACTAATGGACTTCAGACCACCAGAATAGCCTGTTCTTGGGAAACACGTAGAAAAGGGATGGATCAAAATTAAGGAATGTGTTTAGAAAAATAAAGTTTTCAGTTACAGAAAAATATGGAATTTAGGAGAGACACAGGGCTGTGAATGAATCAAGGATTTCACAGAGAAGAGGTGGCTGTGGCTGTGGACATCAAGTCTTACACTGCGAAAATGTACTGCTTAGCAATTAGCCTGCCCGACGTCAATTTCAGAGTGGCTTTGAAGAGCATTCGGGGTGCACACACCAGATGTTTGTTCTTTTCTTTGTACAATCCTAGTAGAGAAGACCATGTAAGCCAGGCCTCATAGTGCAGGCCTGGCATCCCAGCCACTCAAAGGCTGAGACAGGAGGATTACAAACTCAAGGCCAGCCTGGCCTCCAGTGTGAGTTTGAGGGCAGCCTGGGAAACAGTGAGATCTATTTCAAAGTTAAAAGTTAAAGGGGGAGGGTAATGGTGGTGGTGGTTAGGGATTTAGGCCAGTGGTAGGGAACTTGCCTAGCATGCCCAAGGTATTAGGTTCAATCCCCACATACACAGATAGCACACATACATAAGAATCCATGATGTTGCTAACCAGACTGAATCTGAACTTGAAGTTCAGATCCACTTCCAAGTATTCTTTTAGATTTTTTATTTTAAAAAATGTATAATTTTTTATTTTTTAAAAGGTGCATTGCATGTATATCTATGTGTGGGTTTGTGCACATACATGTAGGTGCTCTAGGAATCGAGTAGAGAGCACTAGGTCCCCTGGCACTGGAGTTGTAGGTGGTTGTGAGCTGCCTCACATGGGTGCTAGAACCTAAGCTTGGGTGGTCTACAGGAGCAGGGAAGCTACCCACCCACCCACCCACCCGTCCACCCACCCTACCCCCCGCCACTCCTGCCATGTTCTTTTGGTTAGTGTTTTTTAAAAATGGGAGGTAGTAAAAAAGTTAGTATTACTTTATTTTTAAAATGAGTAAATTAGGAAAATGGAATGTGTAAGGGGCTAACAGGAGCCAAGAGAGAGAGAGAGAGAGAGAGAGAGAGAGAGAGAGAGAGAGAGAGAAAGAGAGAGAGAGAGAAATTACTAAACCAGACATCACTGGGGGACTTAAGGTAGGTTGAATCATACACATCCCCCATGTTTAAATGTAAGAAACTGCTACAGAACAATGTTTTATCTGAAAGATACTGCATGCTGAGGAGCTAAACTTTCAGCAATAAAGAGCAGGAAAGGAATTTTGCTTTTCCTGGAAAATATTTCATAAGTTATACACATAGCATATGTGCAGAAGGGGAGAAAGAAATTATTACTAGCCAGATTTCTCATGTTCTTGCCAAACATTCAGTGTGCACCATGTTGTAGAGGGAGATGTGCTTTTGCTGTCCTAGTTACCAAGTGTGGGGTCAGATGGTTTATACTTTGTGTCTGTCTGTCTGTCTGTCACTGGAAGGACAGAGGGACACACATGCACTCTATGCAACAGAAGAAACAAGAGTCACACCAATAAGTTAGAAGCTAAGAACTGGAAGATGAGGGAGGGGTCCTTGAAATTCACAGCAGGATGGACGGTTGCCTGGGGTTCTTGGGTTCCTACCTCTGCCAACAGACAGGTTTCCCTAAGTTTAGCGTTTGTTCTGTTTGGAAAATCCTTCTGTCTTAAAACACGGAATTCCATAATATAAAGGAGAAGTTCAGACTTAAAAGACTCAGCTTCAGCCTTTACATGGAAATTGTGGGGAGCAGATGAAGTCCTGACATGAGCATAAACATGTAAGGATCCCAGTGCCTCAGACTTATGAGAACTTACAGGCTTTCTCCATCCAGACTCAGGGGATAGTAAGGCCTTCTGGTTTGAGTATGGATGTTGACTCTGTGCAGGAAGTATGAACTTCAGATTTTCTCCTCCAGGATGACTGCAGTCTGAGACCTCTCCCCTACAGAGATCCCTTACCAAGGTTAGTAAACCTGCCTCTTTGTTCATCTGTACGTAACAGACGGGCTTAGTTTCCAGACTGTTGGTGCCTCTCCATCGGAGGGCTTGGTCCATCCAGTCCCAGTTTATTTGTATCCGAGTCTGTCATTTCTTCGTTCCCCATTATGTCACCCCAGTTAGGTCACTCCCAAAGGCAAGCAGACTGCAATCACACTTTATGAAATATCACTATACTATCTTTGTCCCAATTTCCCTTGGAATGAGAGGAAAACCCTCATCCTGAGCCAATGACTTCGTCAGAGAAACGATGATTGTTTGAAAAGGGATCCGCTGCTTTCTATAGGGATGTGTTTAAAATGTTGGCCTTCTACAGTAAGGTCATGAGTCCTTTGACAGGGCATGGCACCCCAACTCCCTACCCTGGAGAATGGGTTCCCTTAGGACAGCTTGGCACAGTCTCATTGCTGTCCCTTGCCTAGAGCACTGGAGCTGGCCTCCGGTGATATGGAAGATGTTTACCTCCAAGGCTCAGTCTCTTCCTCATTCTCACAGCTGCCACCCCATCTTCATTCAGATAAACCCACACTTTATAAAAGGAAAGAGCTGTTGTAACTCTTGTTCAGGCACGTGTCTTTTATTGTGTCCAGTACTGACCCGTTGAATTGGTTTAGTCTGCTCAAAATGAACTCCTAAGACATTCTACTAGCAGCTTCCAAGTCCTCACGGCCTGGCCAACAATGTGGAGAAGAAGGGTTTGCATGGGAGACACAGTCGTTGACAGTGGGGAAGGCTGTGTCACAAGTGTGGTCCAGATGCCAGGCAGATGGGTGTCTTCCTTTGGAACGGTTGTGTGCTTCATTCCTGGAAGGGCAGGCTATTTACTTACTGGAGGTTATCTTGTTGGTACCAGTCCTTCTATAATACTAGAAATCTTGTTTTTGTTGTGGGTGAGTATCAACAGAGACCACAGAGATCTAGAAATCTATCACACTTTGTAGCCCTTTCTAGTTCTTAAAAAATTGATATTCCTATTTGACCTTTGTTCTAGTTGCTCTGAACTAACACCAAAAACACCAAAAGCAACCCAAGTATGTTACTTTCCTATTGCTGCGATAAAACATGATGGCCAAAGCAACTTATAAAGTACATCATTTAATTTGACTTATGGTTCCAGAGAATTAGGATCCATTATGGCAGAGTGAAGGAACATCTGAGAGCTTGCATCTTGATCCACAACCACAAAGCAAGGAGAGCTGACTGGCTATCCCATGAGTCTTTCAAAATTTTAAAGCCTGCCCCCAGTGACACACCTCCTCCAAGAAGGCAATACCTGGTAATTTTTCCCAAACAGTTTCACTAACTCGAGACCAAGTATTCAAATATAATTATATGAGGGGCCATTCTCAGTCAAACCACCACAAGGAAGAAAGGGTTTGTTTGGCTTACTTTTCCAGCTTGCAAAAGTCAGAAGTAAAAACTGTGGAGGAATGCTGCTTCCTGGCTTGTCCTCTGCTTACATTCTGCTGCTTTATCATACACTCCAGGTCCACCTACATCGAGAAGACATCACCCACTCTGAACTGAGCCCTCCCACATCAACCACCAATCACCACATACTGTGGACTGAGTCCTCCCACATCAACCACCAATCACCACCCACTGTGGACTGAGCTCTCCCACATCAACCACCAATCACCACCCATTGTGGACTGAGCCCTCCCACATCAACCACCAATCACCACCCATTGTGACTGAGCCCTCCCACATCAACCACCAATCACCACCCACTGTGAACTGAGCCCTTTCATATCAACCACCAACCACCACCCACTGTGGACTGAGTCCTCCCACATTAACCACCAATCACCACCCATTGTGGACTGAGCCCGCCCACATCAACCACCAATCACCACCCACTGAACTGAGTCCTCCCACATCAACAATCAATCAAGACTGTCTCTCACAGACATGCCCACGGACCCATCTGAGCAACTGAGGCTTTCTCAGATGTCAGACCACTCTGGGCGGCCTCAGGGTGAAAGCTGAAGGAACTAGGACAGCATCACAGATAACATGAAAATGACGAGAATTTGTTTCTTTCTAATCTCATAGGCAGAAACTAAAGCTTGGAGGTTGGATAGCCTGGAGTCCTCATGCTAGATGGAGAGCTTCAGCCCCAGACCCTCCAGCACCGGCCGTGGAGAGGAGAGATGAGAAGCGCTGAGACACTAAGATTGTTCTCAGAAATGGTTCTAGCCGTGCGGGAGACGATATTACAGAGCTGCGGATGAAGCATGGGGAGGAGATGGTGGAGACCAATAGCTATCTGACTTTTATTAAATTATATTCTCACTGGTCAGCGTTCTGGAATACTGTGTTTTTGTCCTGGGGCCAGGTCCAGGGAGGCCCGTGTATTTGCCGTAGTTAGGGAATGAATGATGAAGCTATAGTTGAACTAAGAATGTTGAAATCTGATAAAAATCTCCCAATGACTCCGGCCTTCTGAACCTGGTGGAGCAGTTGTCAGGATCTGAAGAATCTGTGTTTCTTCTTGGTAGCCTAGGTGGAGTGCGGTTTCCCACAACACCAGCTTTCTGCAGGGCCCCAGCTTCCTCTGCTCTCCTCACCAGCAAGTTTGATTTGAACCTGGCCCATTATTTAGCCTTCAACCCCCTCACTTTCTGTCTGGTTCTGTCTATGGTTAACACAGAGGGTCCCTGTGTAAGTTCATCATCTGAATCCAGGCTATAAAAGAATCAAAGATGAGATGCTCCTGGCGGAATCAAGGGCTCCAAGTTGCTCCAGTCAGTGTACATTGGAGAGAATGGGATCAAGTCATGCGAAACAAGCTTTCCGATCAACAAGGATGGATCACAGCTATGACCAGTGACACCAAGCACATAGCCGGGAGGGTACGATCAGCGAATTTAATGATGCTATCAACCCTAGAGCCATTTTTTTTTTTTTGAGGCAGGGTTTTTCTATGTAGCTTTGGAGCCTGTCCTGGAACTCACTTTGAAGACCAGGCTGGCCTCAGACTCACAGGGATCTGCCTGCCTTTACCTCCTGAGTGCTGGAATTAAAGTCATGTGCTACCACTGCCCGGCCCAACCATAGGCCTATTAAGACCCATTAATCAAGTCTGCAGGCCGAAAAGTTGGAATCTCTTTCTAGCCTCCAGTAGCATAATGGAGGATGTGCCTCTGGGCAAAGAAAGTTGAGCATCTCTTAGTCTCCTTCACTGTAGTCTCCTACCAACATTCTGTTGGCACCCAAGAATTCAGACTCGTGAGGAACTTCACTAGCTGCCAGACGAGCATCACCTGGAGCCAGTAAGACGTGTCCTCGGTGACGAGACAACTATAACTCGTTCAGAAAGTAAAGTGAAAGAGAGATCCAACATTCATGTGTGTGCTTCTCCCGGTATGTTCCCATTATCCACGAGCCTCTGAAAATCTGGCTTGCTCAAGAAGGCATTAGAACTGAATTATCATTTATGTTTGTCATAGGGCTTGAACGTGTGTAATGAGATTCCAGAGTTAATGTTTTGTGCAGAGCACTTAGGAGAGCCAGGATGAAATTGACTCCGAATTCTGATGGGGAGTTTTAATTAAAGATAGTTTCTAATCAAGGGTGGAGCAGAGGCTGCTTAGAAGATGTCAGCTCATGGTCCAACCCACTGATGCAGAGGTGGGCAGATGGTCTCTGCGGAGCTCTGCTGCCCAGAGGGAAAGCAATAGTGAGGAGTGAGTTCTGGGGGCAGGAGACAGGACTGCTCAGCCTCGGGTCTGAGGAGCTATGTGCCATCTTGGCCCTTGTGTGTCTGGCTCTGTGTGTTGGTGGCCATAGCTCTAGGTGTCATGTGGCTCTAGGTGCCAGTGGCTCTGCCCACAACTCCTCATGAATGCTGGCTGGTTGGACCTAATCAGAGCCCCATATAGATTCCCTAGCTAGCGTGTGCAGCCCTAAGTCCCCACAGTTGACAGGAGGGTGCCGTCTTAGATGTGACTTGCATCACTCTTTCCAAAGGGCACACATACACAAGGACCTTGAATGAGGTTGCCTGAAGAAGGAGCCTCTTTGACCCTCTCATGAGCTGTCAGTCCTACAGAGAAGGAGAAATTAGGATTCTCCTGCCCACTGCCCTTTAACCCCTGAAGTGCCAGAGGGCACAGTATCCTTCTGATCTCAAGAAAGCCTATGCCGGCCCTTCGTCACTCGGCATGGTTCTCTTTCCTCGCTGCAGTCAGGCCTAGCCCGGCTTGTAGCCCAGAGAGAGATGCATTTTAGGCTGGGAAGAGTCTGCACAGCCGGCACGCAGACATGGTCTGCAGTGACCTTCCAGGCCCTTGAGGCTTGTGGACCATGTTCTAGCTGCTCCGTGACTGGGTTAGCATTTCCACAGGCGCCAGAACACAGCCCCTGCTCTTTCCTCTGGGCCCCACCGCCAGTTCGTTCTCCTCTCAGGGTCTTGGTCCATCATGAGGGTGACCTGGGCTCCGAGCACTCCCCGCAGTTACTCAGAGCAAACACAACGATGAGGAAGCAAGAGGAAGTGAGTTAGTGTTTGAAGAGTGACCCGCTGGGAGGAATTGATGCCTAAATGCCAGGCAAGGCAGGCAGTAAGCAACTGACACCAGTTTCGTCAGTGCTGTGGTTGTAGGGCCAGGTTAGAGTTGGGGAACGAATTGAGTCAAGCAGAGAACCAGCCATGGTCTCAGAGGTTGCAGCCGTCGCTGGGACGCTGGCAGGCGTCACTAACACATCTATCTAAATGGAGATAGATGGTACAGCTTCTCTTAATTATTTAGAAGTCATGACAGCCTTTCTATTTATTTTGAAAGTTATTGTACATACTAGTCTGCCTGCATGTATGTCTCTGCAGCACACGTGCACAGTGCTCACAGAGTGCCAGGGCTTTGGATTTATTGGAAGTGGCGTTACAGACTGCTATGAGCCACCACATGGGTTGCTGGGAATTGAACCCAGGGCCTATGGAATATTAGCCAATGCTCTTAACTGCTGAACTGGTTCTCTAACCCTCCATGTGAGGTTCTGGACAGTCTGTGATTGGTCCAAGATTGTCTCTCAGCTCAAAATACATTGTTGAAGCTTTAAAACATGTTTTTGGTCTAGCAAAGAACAAGGAAATCATAGACTTCATTTATCTGCTCTTCAGTTCTGGCCTTGAGTCTGCTGTTTCTAGGGATCAGGGTCATTTTTGCAGTGGAATGAGTTAACATCAGTGTGGGTAATGACTTTGTAGATTGAGCCTGAACAGGCAGAGATGCTGACTGGCTCCTGTTCCTAGGTCCCAGTGGTACAGGGCCTGCTGTGTGAAGCAGAGACTCTTTCTCTACCCCCTCCTCCACTCTGTCAGTGTCCAGTGCCTTTCTGGCTCCAGATGTTCCTTAAAATGCAAATTCCCCGGTGCTGGTTGCATGTTAGCCTCTTAACCACTCTGCTCTTCCTGTGAATCCAGATTCTCTCCCTCCCTGCAGCAGGAGCTCAAGGTGGAGGCAGAAGGAAGGAGCTGAGGGAGAAACGGTGCAGAAATGGGCACCCTGTGGACCTTGTGCCTTGACCCCGAGTTCTCCAGCCTTGCACACATGGTTGTTTTCTCACTCAAATTGTAGAGTTTTCTCTCTGAAGTTTTAATCTTGCATTTTAATGTCTCCATATAAACCATGTTTTCGCCCTCAGTGGTATTGTTTTAATATAAAAAGCCAAATAGTTTTTCTATTTTCATGCATGATAGTCATTAAGATTATTTAGCTGCATTAGTTAATAACAGTCTGCCATCCAGAAAACTAGTTTGCATTTCATTTGGGGGAAAATGTTAATAATTAAATATAATCAATAATGGAATTACCATTCCAGCAACCATCTCAACCTGAGAAAGATGTTGTCAATTCGCACTTAGTGCTAATATCATTTATTCCATTAACGGCCCTTATTTTAACAAGCTTAATCATCTTTATAGGTTTCTCTTCTCTTCCATCTCTTTCCCGTTTTTTATTGCTTTGCTCATATAAATGTTTCCACAATTTAGTGACGATGAGGCAGGAGGCTGAGTGGATGCATCTAACTTGATCACAGCCTTCGGTAAGCCTCATGGGAGAGAAGTCTTGTAGTCATTCCTACTTGGGGCCAACCACACACTTTGCAGAAAGCACACTTGATTAAAAGCACGTAGATCATATTGCCTTTATGTCCAACCTCAAAAGGACTATGTCTTATTTGTTGCCAACTTGGCACCATTTCCTTCTACTCATTTGGCTCTTTCTTAAGTCCAGGAAGGATGGGTGTTGGAAGGAAGGTGCTCAAGAGACTACTTTGGCCAGATCCTCCCTGTGACGTGGCCCTGTGGAACACCACAGCATGATGATCTTGGTCTGTACCACCCCAGGACTTCACACCGCCACCCTCTGATTCCTATAACCTCCACTTACACCATCCTGAAGGCTCAGCTTCCTCCCACGGGCTCCTCTGCACCCTCTGAGGGTGTGGCTATCGCCACCACTGATGAGGTCAGCGATACCAAAGAGAAATTGGACTCCAAAGCAACCACTTCCCAGGATGCGTTGCCATGCACCTCCTCTTAGATGCAGATGAAAGTGAGGCCCAACTTTCTGACTCTTTCTCTCCAATCTTAGTCTGTTTCTGGGTGTCATATCATGTCTACACTGAGAAAAGATGAACTTCCCAATAATATACGTCAGTGTCTTGGAGCATGTGACCCTTAGTTCCTTATGTCTGGGAAATGCTGACAGCCACGATGCTTGTGGACCATGGATGTGGTAGACCCTAGGTGCAGGTGGACTCCATATCAGGTGGGACGGTAGCTTCCTGCTGTTTCACACACGGTGCCCTTATGGTCTTTAATAAACTAAACATGGTACAAGAACAAGAACATAAAGCCAAGCCTCCCTCCATGACTGGCTCCAGGCTCTCAGGTTGCTGCTGTTGCTGATGCTGTTGGCCCCTTTGGTTCAGTGCAGGTGATCACCAGCTCCCTCCTTACAACTTATGGATGGCCCGAGCCTGTCATAGTCCTTCCTCTGCCGTGCATACCGTCCCAGTCACTGGTCTATTGCTGTGAAGAGATGCCACGACCAAGGCAACTCTTAAAAAAGAGGTTTAGTCTATTGCCGTTACGGCAGGGAGCGTGGATGGTGGCAGGCATGGTGCTGGAGCAGTAGCTGAGAGCTCCATCGGGGTCTGCGGGTCAAGAGAAGAGAGGTTTGGCCTGGCATGGGCCCCACCTCTGCTGACACGCTTCCTCTGACAGGGTCACACCTTCTAATCCTTCTAATCATTTCAAGTAGTGCCCCTCCCTGGTGACCAAGCATTCAACTA